GGATGGGAATGGGAATGGGAATGGGGATGGGGACAGGCGCTCCCTGCCGGCCCCGCCAGACTCTGGGAGCCGGTCAAGATACAGTTAGGGAGAGGTATGGGGGGAAAGTGCTCCTCCGGTGCTAGATAATATGCGGGGACAGAGGATGCGGACGTGGTCACTGCGGCCGCGCTTCCCACACGCTTTCCTGGGGAGATCCTACAGAATGTCCCCTTGTCGTGGAACAAGGCGGAGCTGGAGGGTGTGCGAGGAGCCTCTGCGGGATAAAGACACATGTTACGTGCGTTTTGTGTTGGGTTTGGCCTGAAGGCAGCGCGGTTGCATCCTTCTGTTGGGCTCATGTGCCAGCGCCTGTCTGAAGGGACTGCTGGAGCAAAGGGCCTGGATGACGGTCATCGGGTTGTACAGAGAACAGGTAGAGGTGGTCTGGTCCCGGCAGGGACCACAGAAGCTACTCTGTTAAATGTCTTTTCATGATGATCAGTTTACGCTGGTGAACACTGCGTAAGAGCTGTTCTGCCTTGTTGCCCTAAGTGCCTCTCCTAGCAAAAATCCCTGGGCATGTGAAGGATCAGGATAAAGATACATGAATTCTTCGGGTACCAGTTTACACCACTGTGAATAAGGAGGGGGCAAACAATAAAGCATGGGTGCAGGTTTAAAGAATGAACATGCTGAGAGGGGGTGTAGAAAGGGCATTTTTCTGTGCACAGATGCACCTGGGTGCAGAGGTGGTCTGATCTCTGAGCAGGATTTGTAGCCCCCCTGTAGACCCTCTGGTGAACGTGCCATGCAACACAACATTGCTGATCTCCTTCGAATAATGGAGACTCAGCTGTCAAACTTGGAGCTTTATGAAGGATCATTGCAGAGTGGGTAAAAGCAAGATTATAAGCTATGTCTGGCATTAACACCAACATTACTCACAAACTGCACAGAGTCCAAGGTAGAAGGTGGCCAGCCTAGAAGCATGCAAAGAGCCGGGGCTCCAGGAGCTCCCAGTGCCTGGGCAGTCTTGCTAGCCATGTACACAGCAAAATCATCCCCTCCTTGTGCTTCTTTGGCCTTGGTTCTTTTATACTTTTCTTGTTGCTAGAAGACTTCACTGCAGTGCAGCTTGGTTGCAACCACCCAGTGTTTCTATGCAGGTTTGAAAGCATCTTAGACTGGGTTTGGCTCATTTACAATTTCTTTTCTTCTTTAGGGCTGTTCTTATTTGGAACACACATATTACACAGTTTTAATTCTTAATCTTTTGTCCAGAAGAATAGACTGTGCAGAAGGAGAATGCCTGAGGGGGTGTGATGGGAATGCTGTAGCCACATACATCCCTGTCATGTACAGTGTCACTGGAGGGGGAGACAGCTGAGGCTTTGAAGATTGTCCGCTCCTCACAAGGCTTGAGGTCTTCTGTTACGACAATACTGGGGTCAGTGGTACTGCATCAACTCTAACTGCTTTTTCCCAGCGGTGTCTGCTGACTTGGAGGACAATAGTCCTCTCACATTTTTTACTTGACACTTCCGTCACGCCAAGAGGCAGCTCCGGGAAGTCTCAAGAACAGCTCCGGAAGTCCAGGAGAAGCACCAGCAAGCTGGGTATGACATCTTTGTAGGACAAATGTAAGACTGGCCAGAAGGCTAGAGAGAGCAGGAACTACCTCTTATTTTGCGGGACAGAGTTTCAGTTACCAAGCAGAAATGGAGCGAAGCTGTTCCTGCTCCTGCTCCACTGGGTGCTCTCCCTTGCCTCTAGCCAGTTAAATGCATGCTGCACTCAGTTCAAGTATGTAACAGTTGGCAATGCAAGTAAATCCAATTGATTTTCTTATTGCTAGAGTTGGAAGAAGGAGTTTGGCAAAGTCCCAAGCTGATTGGCAGGTTTTTTACTTCAAAACCATCTTGTTGCAGCTGGATGTTGCCATACCCCACTATGAAGTCATGGGCGGCTCTCCTAGGAGACGGGGGATGCTGGCCCAGCCAGCAGAGGGACAGGCTGCTGCCCACCATCCTCTAACATCTTAAACATCTTTGACCTCTTCCAACATCCCATGGGCATGAGGATATCTGCCACACCTGTTGTGGGCAGGCCAGGTTTCCTTTAAGTCCACCAGGAACAAGAAGTGAGTAGATAGCGTGTATCTTTCTGTCCCTCATTATGTGTCCCGCTTCCTGACACCACTTAGAATTTGCTTTCAAGAAAATGTCAGCAAACTGCCTGAAAAGTACAACCAATTTGTTTTATTTGACTCTGCTATTTTTATTCAGCAGTGATTGTCAGTCTCATAAAGACATGTAATGTGGTGGTGGCGGGGTGTTTTTTCTCCTAAAGTAGAATGTATATTTGCATACAGGAAGTCAGCAGAAGCCAGGAACTCCTGCCTTTCCACATCCAAACATCGTTGATCTGCTGATTGCCAGTCTCTTGCTGGTAAACAAGTACCTCCAAACTGAGTGGCACTTGTGTCAGGAGATGGGAGATGCCATATTTTGGAGAAATGACACCTCAGGTCACCACGTCATCCACCATGATGCCTTATGTGAGGCAAGGCAGTGGTTTCTACCTCCTCTGAATTGCATCTCTTGGCCCACATTGCCCAATTCATGGCTTGTGCTGGTCCCAGTCTGTCACTCTCTGCCATCCATCCATACTCCTGAACCCTGGTTTTATTCCCTGAAAGCTGGCAGAGCTGCTTGAAAGCCAGCAGCTGCATTGTCATCTAGTGGCTTTTGAACACAAAAGCAAAGAGGAGTCAGAAAAGATGATCAAAGTGGGAAACAGTGGGGGGAAAGGGAGGGAAACACAACAAAAAACTGAAATCCAGAATGGAAGGGTTATGAAGCCAATGTAGAGCTTCCCTGTTGCAATCTCACCCATCTCTCTACTTTCACAGGCACAATTTAGTTATTAATATGATGTATAATATTGGTAATATTGAATATTAGCAATCATGTATAAATTTGGATATGCTTTTAGTATGGGGGAAGCTGATACCAAAAAAGGAACCTATACACAATCCTACTATATCATGGCTATAAAAATAACTTAAAAATTTTATCTATAATGAAGATTTTAATCTTTTTTCATTATTTGGTTTAAAAGTGGTTTGTCAGACAGAACATAAAAAAAAAACCCCAAACAAACCAAGTAAAGGAAAAAGAGGTTTTACAATACTCAGGTACATTTTTATTAATTCCTTTATTACTTTTTTTTCCCAAAGACCAAAGCAAAAAAAAAAAGCAAACAAACCACAGCAAATCAGAGCAAGAGACTGTAAATAATGTTCCTGCTTCCAGCTTTGTTTTTAAAATCTGAAAAATAAGGACATTTGGTAGCATATTGTGAAATGCAGAATCTGAGCACACTGTTGACAGTCCCACACTGGTGAGGATTGAAAATAAAACAATTGGTGCATTACTTGGGCTGTAATCCTACAGGCATTTGCACATGTTTAACATTCCATTTCAATCAACAAAGCAGCAATGGTGCACTGAAATAGTTACCCGCGGATTGTCAGGAGCAGGGCAGTGCTGGGAATAAGAGGTCATTCACAGCCTGGAACACTACAGCTGGTTTCTTTCAGTTGTGTGGCAAGGTTGTGTGTTTGCTTATAGGCCCATGCTTCTCTTACCTGCTAATCTACTGGAGTTAGAGTTTATTTAAAGATCTCTGTCTAGCTTCTTAGGCAGGGATGGGACAGGAAATAGCAGTTAAATATGCTTCAGCGAGTCCCTGTAAGCAGTTCAACAAACATGGAACTGAGCCTACCAGATTTAGCACTAATCCACACTAAGAGTTTAGCAGACACAGCCATCCTGTTGATGACGTGGACTGGCTTGTTGAAATTGTTTTCTCCCACCATGTTGTCATCTTTGATAGAGAAACACAGTAGGAGAAAAATCACACATTCTCACCACTACTACTCCAGCAGTGTGGAGTATTGTCACAAGTTACAGTTCAAGGTTATCTACAATGCACTCCAGAAAATAGCTGAAGAAAATGTGCAACGTATTTGAAGTGTTACCTCCCAGAAGCACCTATAAGCCAGTTCCCTACTGATATATTTCAGTGCCAATTCCCCAATCTGTTACATCTCTTGCTCTGTTGCCACTAATAAGAAAAAAAAAGCCATCAGTAGTTCATTTACCATAATGAATCCAAAAGGTTTCTGCAAGCACAGTAGCTGCAGCCACTCTCACAGCAGAAGAGAGAACTCTCACTTCATTCACTGAACCTGCTGTCTCACCAAAGAAGTCACTTCACGTATGGCACGCCGGTACTTTTCCGAGGCTGCCTTGAACTCAGCCAGGTGCTTCTCATAGCTTCTCACAGCTGCCAGAAGCTGATTCCTTTCCACAGCTCCCAAGATGGCATGGAGGATCATTTCAATGCCAAGCCCAAGAATGGTGATGCTGATTCCCCCAAGAACAGACGCTCCAATCTGCGCAAGGAGACTGATGAGCTTGCTCACAGTGAGCGTTAAGAAATTGGAGCTGAGAAGTTTGATAGCTACCATCCCAGCTGTTGAAGTTGCTTCTCCAAGAACAATGGAAAAAACTTTATGGGCTATTGCTATTTTCTCCAACTCGGGCTCTTTGATGTCATACAGCTTCTGGTACAACACGGGCTCTAGCTTTTCCTTCATGTCACTGTCAATCTTCTGTACTTGATGCTGAATCTCACTCATTGCTTGGATGATAATGTCACAGTTTTCCTTGACTGTGCTGTTCTCTCTCATCCGAATGTGGGTAATGGTACAGCCCAGGTGTTCATTCAGCACTCTAGCCAGTTCATTTGTTGCACGGAAATTTGTGGACATGCAGTCAAGCAATTCCTGGTGCAGATGGATCAATTCTTGCCTTCTCTTGGGGTTATCTGGGTAAAGGAGGTCACTCAGCGCCATTCTTCAGAAATAGGCTACTTCAAAAGAGAAAAGAAATACATTACTCTCTTCAACACCCGTAACTGTAGCCCTTACAGAGCAGTGAAATGTCCTTTGTCTCTGCCTCACTGGTTCTTTTTATACTCAGCAAATCAAATCCCCAGGCATAGCTTGTAAATGTAGAAATCTTAATTCTTGTTTTGGATCCTTAGCCAAATGATTGGAAACTGAGAAGATAAAATGTTCTAAGAGGAATAGGACTTCAACAAATACTTAATGTACTTGACTGGTATGGAGACTTTTAGCATCTATTCTTTATGCATAATTATTTTGGCTTCCAATAAATGCTCTAGATTTTATGTCTCTTAATACTAAAACCACCTTTTACTCTTCACATTAACACATGATAATTTTTACATTTGCTTTCTAGAGTTAAGGAGACCACATATATTTCTGTATTTCTGACTATTTCTCCAGCTTCAGGGAGATTCTCTCCTGAAGCTTTTCTAATTAAACATTTAGTCTGCCTACCTGATTTTGTCTGAGTGCTCCTGCAGTCAGCTGAAATGTGTATGGGTGGCTTCATCCTCTTTACCGAGTGTTCCTCTGGTGGTTTCCAGCAGCATGTGATGAGTTAGGGATCCAAAGGCTGGGCTTCACCTGGGTCCTGTTGCCTGCCTGCTCATCACTAATTCTATTGTGTGGTGTTTACCCAGACTCATCTCATTTTCTTACTCCTGCCCCCTTCCAATTTTAACAGATTTCAGTTTATTTAATTTCAGTTCCCAATTGTTAGATCCTCCAAGGACCTTCTGTTCCTGGAGATAATAGGTAGAACATGAATCCCCTTGCTTACAACAAAGGTACCAGCACAGGTACCTACAGCTATGGCTAAAAGGGAATGGTATTACCCTTCTTTGCTGCAGTTTGCCAGGTTCTCTGCTCTGATGCCATGAGAATGGAAGAAGTTGTGTGGAGCCCTAGAGCCAGCTCTGGCTGAACAGCAGTGGAGGCTAAGATCAATTTTGCCATTCCACACAATTTCAGACCACTTTTGCCATGGAAAGGGAAAGAAGGAAGAGATAGAGGGCTGAACTGAGCACTGAGGGAAAAGTCTTAAAAAGTATGAAGTGAGATGGGAAATTTCAACTGCTTGGACACATCTAAGCACAGCAATAGCTGATGAAACACGTCTGCTGCAACCAGTCTGGTTTTCCAGGGTTCTAGCACAAGCAAAGGCAACGCCAGGAGCAGTCCCTCAGCCACGTGATGTTCCAGGGCTATACCTGCAGTTGGTCTTTAGAGAACTCTTAGGTGCAAGCAGGAGGACATCACTTCCCTAGCAGTCAAAATAGTAGCAAGGTGGGAGCCCAAGCAAGGGAAGTGTTTTGTGCTTCCACCTGTCAAGGGATGCTTGCAGCATCTAGCTGCTGTATGAACTGACAGATATGGGTCACTTCACAGGAAACTGTAGCCTGGCAAAACATTGTATTACTCAGTCTTCAGTCTCTTGTCCCTTGAATGTAGATGTCTGATGCATTTGATTTTGCTTTGTCTATTCCCCCCTCCTGACAATATGAATTGAGTTCTGCATAGATCCACCAGTATACACAAACTGAAGGATTATGGTTCTAAGAATGATGTAGATTGTTTGTTAGGACTCCCATAAATTCACCAATAAACACCAAAAGAAAAGAATAATTCACTTACATCACTTCCATTCCTTTTCAGATTACATGCTGAAGGTCAGAGACATAACTTCCTGCAGCCACAAAAGCAACAATACTTGCTGCTGTTTACACCACATTTTGCTGGCCTGCTTGGTAAGACCCTGCAACGGCTGACAAAGACCTGTTTCTGTGTTTTCTTCTAACATCTTGGGGGAGGGAGGGTCAGGTAGATTGATAATTTGCAGTACTGGTCTCAGGAATGTAACATTCTAGCTGAAAATATTGTTAAAGAAAATTCTCTGCTCTAGGTTTCCCAAAGCAGAGTCTCAGACTTCTGATTCTTAGATAAATAATTTACTAATGGAATGTTACAGGAATAGGAGCAGCTCAAAACTGGATGCCCCCAAGCAGGGACCCAGAACAAAGAAATTCCTGGGGTTTTCTACCATTACTGTCTATGCACCTTGAACGCACTTCTTGGCCCAGTACTGAATTTTAGTCTGGGGTCCCCTTGTCCATCATTGGGTTCTTTCATTACCTCCAGGTGATCCATAAGTCTTTTATCTCTCTGTTGCTCCTTGCTAATGGATGCAACTCCTTTATCTTCCAATTTGCAGTGGTCTCATGGTCTTCATTTACATAACTAAGCACAGGTTGTAAATTAAGCTCAGCTTTATCTAGGTCGGAGTTAACTGCTTTTGGCCCAAGGCTCCAGCAACCTTTAGCTTCCCATGCTAAACAATTACTTATATAGCTAAATAGTATAGTGTGTATATAGTTACATACTTATAGTATGCATACATGCATACCATAGTATACATATGCTATAGTACATAGTACATATCATTACATATATATTACATACAGTATAGCTAAGGAAAATCACCAGTCAAAAGAACACAGTTAAAGGAATTCGACTAACTAAACTGAAGTCGCAACAATATATCTAATTTTATTTCCCTGTGTCTCCTGGATTTCCTCTGTTTTTCAGAGTCAGATCCCACTCCAGAAATGTTAGCCCGCCTTGGTTTTATGAGTGATAAAGAAAGGCTGGTCAAGGCCTGCCAGAATCTGCATGACCTAGTGTACATCTATGCCTCTTCCATCAACAGAATATTCCGACTCCTCAACGGAAATTTTGGCACCAACTTCCCTATCATGTCAGTAAAAGAAAACTTCAGCATTAAAGATAATCTGCAGTTCCTGGTCAGTGCTTTGAAAGAGATGCAAGCCAACATAGAATCAAAAGACAAAGATGTACATGAAAGCATCAGCCAAAGTTTGTATGCTAGGATTGCTGGTCCCATCACCTCCCTGCAGGACAAGATCACTGCAGTAAAGGAACTTTATGAGAAATACAAAGAGATCGTGGAAAGCATCATGGGTGTTCTCGTTGCAGTGATGTTGAAGCATGACAATTTCCCGGACACAGTAGAGTTTGCTCTTCATCAGTTACTGGGTTCACCTGCCTTATCCCTCCCAGTATCAGAACTTCTCATGGATTATGCTGATATTGTGAAGATGCTGCAAGAAAATGAGACACCAAGTACTACAGAAGGCAGCTCCTCCTCAGATGGACCATCACAACCACTCAGGCTTCGCTCTGTATCGCCTTCCTCTTCACTTCTTACTTTACTACAGACTATGCTTCAAGGACACAGATCCATAAAGAAAAGCCTGAAAATAGCAGCTGACTACTTAGAGGAGGCTTTCAGGGTGTTGAAGCCACCTTGTGAAAGATTCCAAATCTTCGTGAAAATGGTTGAAGCCTGCATCCACGCTATAAAAGAGAAGCAAGAAGAGCTATAGATGTGCTGATGTGTCAGAAATCCATCTTGATTCCTGTAATTCTCACATAGGGAAGAGTTTGAGCATGTCTGAACACTCACAAAAGAGGCATCTGTAGCAGCTGTTTCTAATATTTTAATTTCTGAAATCTGAGCTTAGTATCTTTGAGCATTTAGTGGTCAACATCGAGTTCTAACAACTTATTATTTCAAATCACTGGTAAACTAAGAGCAACAAGAAAGTAACATGACACATAGAAAAAAAGTTAATGGTAAAATAGTTCTGTATTGAATCTGTTTTAGCTGCCTAGGCAACCATGCCTCAGGATTTCAGGGGCAGTAATTCAGTTTCACAGAACATGTTACTAGGTTTCAGATTATTAGATGTTGTCCTCTTCCATTACAGACACCTAAACCTGATACACAAGATGCTGAGCCTCAGACTCCTCCATTTAATCTGCTAAAACATGAAGACATCAAACTTCCTTAAGTGCCTTTTGCACCCTACAGACAGACTCTTTCTCGCTAAAAATAAAGGCACAAAGAGATCTGCAAAAAGTCCAAAGTCTCTGTGTGTCTTTCCTGAATGCCTATGGGAAAAGCTACATACAGTGAAGGGTACCACTGACCTCTTCTTCAGAAAGGCCATAGATAACTGCCTTCCTACCTGAACGGGTGCAAGGAATGTCTGCTTTCATGAACCAGGCTGAATGTTCCAGTCTCAGCTGGAGAGCTGCAACTGAAAGCAAAGGGAGGGTTGAAGCTTCTGTAGCAACAGGAACTCCAGAGTCTGATTGCCTGTAGTTCTTCTCGCCCACTATTCAAGTGTATATATCTAGATGCAGCCGGAGAATCAGTCACTGTGAGCCAAGCACATGAAAACTCCAACTGCACTAGGAAGAATGACAGAGGTGAGGACAGTGGAACCACTGTTCTTGTTTCTTGAAGCTGAAAGAAAGTCAAGAGAGCAATCATTTAGACCTTTCTTAGATGCCTAGAGCTTCCTGAACTTGCTAACCCAACCTTTGCCCAGAAGAACTGTTTTTCAAGTCAACCTACTATTTTGGCCTAGGTCCAGGCACAAACTCTCACTCTGGAATGATTATTTTGTGCTCAAACGTTGCATTGACACACTATTGTCCAAAGAGACAAAAGCAAGAGTATTGGTGGTGTACTCATTAAATGACAGGGACATGGAACAGACCCAGTGAGGTCTTCCAGCATAGAGTTAGCTCTATAGCCAGGAAACTATGTATGTGCTTTGCCAAAGGCTACCTTTCCTCCCCGTTGTCACAGGACAGAAAAATCCATGTTGTCACAGGAGAGAAAACACCACTAAAGCAACAGTAGTTGAGTACTAGTGGACCAAAGCCCAGAACAGTCCCGAGGCCTGAAGCGTAGCAGCCTTGGAAGCCACCAGAATAAACATCTGAATTCAAGCTGCCTGCAAATCTCATCTGCCTTTGCAATAGGAATGCTGGGGACCCAAATGCTTGTGTCCTATGACATCCTTGCAATGGCAGATGGGATAAATGGAAGCTGCAAAGAACCCTGCAACCTGCTGTGTATCAGGTGAGTTGGGGGGGGGCTCCCAGTTTTCACGGCAAACAAGTAAAAACTGGGTCATGTGGCTTTCAGAGGTGACCACAGCGACCACAGCTACAGATTTGGTGTTGGGTGTGAAGCCGTGTAGGTGCAGCCGGCGAGGGCTGCTTGGGGTCCTTGGAAACAGACTGTCCTGCTTCCCCCCGCATGAACATCTATGTATGATACCTCCTACGAGATGGCAGTGGTACTTGCTGTAGTTCCCCACAGAATGCAGATGCAACCGGTTACCGTGCTCTGTCTGAGAGAAGCTTTTGACAAGGAACGTCTCATAAGGGGGAATGAGGACTTCCTTCTCAGATACGTAGTAAGAAAAGCCTTGCACAGCTGCTCCCAAGCAAGTGGTCACGGTGAACAAAGTTTCATTCCCAAACTTCTGGGCTTCATTCCAGAGGCGGGAGGTAGAGGTGAAACGGCCAAATCGCACCTTGCTGCCTTCCTTGGCTTCGATATACAAGTCTTTTACACCTCTGTGCACCTGGTAGCACTTACGTTTCCCTGCGCTCTCCTTGCTGCTCTGCCGTTGCTTCATTATCTGGATAGCAGTTGTCAGGTAAAAGTGAAGATATTTGAAACTGAAGTTGTGTCTGTAGTGTTCTGGTGAGCTTCCTCCTATAGATGTGGCCCAGTTCAGCTGCGAATGCAGGGAAGAGTTCATGGTGTAAGCCATGAGGACTATGGCATGGCTCTCATGCATCTCCCTCAGGAGACCTACAGGGCTCTTTGACATAGCCTCTTGAGCCTTCTTCCAGAGACTCAAATAGTCCTTGTTAGCAGCTATTTCCTTTTGGAAATAGTCTCCTCTCTCCAGTTCTTCCATCACCTGCTCTCTGCACCCTAGATACTGGTCATCAAAGGAATGCAGAGCCATATCCATCATGAGCTGGCATGCAGCCTGCAATGTAAAAGCAAATAACAATTAGCATCACGTGCGTTTTGTGTATCTCTATGGATACAAGTCAAGTTTTTCCCTACCCTCTTCTTGCCTTTTCGTCATTACTGGCAAAGCAAGCACAACAAGTAGGCATCTTCAACAAAACCATCCTGAGCAACTTCAGGTTATTGTCCAAATCCCACCTCAGGCAAATTCCAGCCAGGATGCCAGAGTTCTTATTTCATGTGGATCAGTGGCATTAAAAACTTAAGGAGAGTTGGCCCTTCAGAAAGTGAGGGTATAAAGCCTGCAGGACAGACCCACTGTCCAGTTATTTCAATATTCTGCTCATGATTAGTAAGTGCTTTTGAAGAGAGAAAGAATAAGGAAAAAAAAAAACCAAAACAAACCCAAAAGTGCTAGGGGCAATGCAACCTGAACACTCTCAGAGGGGAATTTCTTCTTCCTGTCTTGTCACACCTCTTGGACATGAGAGGTGTGACAGTAAAGGACAGTATAGTAGCAGTGGGCCAAAACTTTTGTTCATCCAGTTTGTCTGAGAGAGGCCAGCTTGACTTGCCATACTTTAAATGCATGAATAAGGATTTGCACAACTGGGTGCTGTAACAGGAAAATAACCTCTAATATATAACACTGTTTCTAGCATTTCTAATTAATAAAAATCTTGTGCAATAAGATCTAAGAAATGGTATTAGTTATGGCATTGTTCTTTTTGCTCTTTGATCCCCTAGTGGACTGGTCAAATACTGTAATGAGCTGATAGTTGAATTCTACAGGTAGAAATTCACTTCATCTCAAGTATCATCCTGGATACATAACCAGATTGATACCTTTCTTAGCCTCTGAAGTTATACCGGCCCATAAACTACACAGGGATTTGGTTTGTCTATGATACCATAACTTCTCTGAGGGAAAGCTAAAAGGCATCACAAGAAATACAGCAATATTGTCACTATCCTATCCAACAACACATTTTGTCAGAGCCTTGGCTGAGACTGGCTGGAAAAAAAGGAGAGGACCACAATTCCATGAGATCTACTCATAAACATACTCTGGAAAACCACCTGGCTCCAAACAAGAGGAAGTTTCCAACCAAGTAGTTAAAAGGAATTTGGACAGGTAAGAAATTGAACAGAGCAACTGAAAGCAAAAGAGTTAAAACAGAACCCAAAGCTCCTTAAAGAACATGTTTCAAATAAAAAAAAAAAGGGGGGGGGGGGGGGGGAAAGTTTATTTCAGTGGGATAAGCAATTTTAGCATTTAAAATAAAGAACAATGTTAACGATGTTTATTCCTTTTACCAGCATTTGTGAGGAGATCAGCAACAGAAGGCTAGCCAGCAGCGCTGTCATCCTAGAGTCCTCCCAAGATACCATAAAGAATATTTTGACCCAGTAGAGGTCATTTACATGTGTTTCATTCTCTTCTTCTTGAACTGGAAGATTCTGCAGTTTATAATTTGCACTCAGGTCTTGGTGCCAGTTCTTCAACTAAAGATCGTTCACCAGATTCTTACATCAATTCAGGAGTCATTAATCAATCCAAACAGACAGTCTACTGGTAGAAGTGAGCAGACAATCCATCTGGCTGCACCAACTCCATCTCTCCTGGTGTCCTTCACCTTGATAGTTCTCTTAATTCCAAGGTATCTGATATTCTTGTTCTTGCAAAAAGGAAGAACTCCCTGGCTTGGAGACGTCAAGGCAGTTCTCTCCTGAGGAGTTATGTGTCAGGATGAGGTGGAGAGCACTCCCTGGTCAAGAGCTTAAAAAGGCCCTTTTAAAAAAATGCAAAGCTCTGATAAAGCCAACACAGAAGTGCAGGGTAGGTTGGGATCCCATCTGGAAGCAGAGATAACGTAACCGTCCTCCTCCTCCTTAGCTCCAACTGGTTTCTAATAATGTGCAGCCAATCCTACCCTTACACCACTGCAGAGTGGCACCTTGTTGGGCTGTTTACACTGGGTAAGCTCAAAATGAGTGTAAATACAGATCCTATACTGAGATGAACCCCTCTCTAGTAGCTGCTTTCCAGTCACCCTTCCAAATAACAGCAATGAGTCACTCACCTGTGAAGCCCCATGGTCTCTAATAACTCCTCTGCACAGAAAATAACCAAGAAGAGGTGTTAGGGCCTTGTTCTGACTACAGAGAAGGGAAGTCCATTTTCCATTGCCTGCTAGTGATAGGCTGGATGAGGGGGGCACCTGCAGGCATGGTGTGATTCCCTTAGAAAAGAGACATTTGTGCATCTGCTTGGATTCTAGGGACAGAGAGCATTTGCTGAATATTGCTGTGTCCTGGGCTTAAACCACGACTTGCTGAAACAGGTGAGAGAGAACATAAGGTCTCATACTGGGCTGCTTTCAAAGTAATCTATAACTGCACCAGCTGATGCTGATGATGGTATCTGTAGCCACTGCTGATATGAGGTGATGGCATGAAGGATGATGCAAAGTGATAAATGCAGCCTACCCACTTTGCTGTCTTGGAATCGCTCTATCATCTTAGGCTGTGTTTCAGAAAGCAGTGCTTTGGCTGCTGAAAGTGAGTCCACAGAAGGGCTTGTGAATTTATTCAGAGGTATCTCCTCTTCTGCTTGTGAAAAGATAAAAAGGAGCTAAACTGTGGCAGGCTCCAGTGGGAACTTGAAAATCAGGGAAAACAGCCCCACTAAAATTTCAATTCAGCTGCATATAATCGAGTTGCAGATTATGTCTCTATTTTTCCCTTCTGGCTTCTTAGTGTATGTTGTAGGACGAAGCAAATCAGGAAGAAACCCACTGTATTTACATTTTCAAATGCTCCAAAAGCAACTTAATCATGCACTACAATAAATGCAATGGACATAAGATGGCAGCAGAGGATGCGTAGTGGTACTTCCATCTGCCTTAACCAAGCTAAAATCGAGTTCCTCCGTTCCAGCAGTTCATTTTTGCACTCAGATCCCCAAAGTTGGTAATGACTTCAACCCGTATAGACATCTGGTGACACAGAACAGACAACATGATCAAGGCTTTCATGTACAACTTCTCTGAAAAAATATTTACTGAAAGGGAGAGGAAAACATAAAACTGATTCAAAGATGCAAATACAGTCGGGAAGTTTCATTTTCTTTTTGTGTGAACAAAATCATACAGTAACAACCCCCCTAACTTGTTATTACAGCAGGGACTAGGATGTCACTAATCTCTCCAGTCTTTTTCCCAGCAAAATTTTCACTGCTTTCAATGAGCATTTTGTTCTTTTTTGCTGGATGGCATTCAGTTCAGTTTTGCTGTGAGCAGTGAAGCCCAATCAGTTTATGCCAATAGAGGAACTAGTCCCAGGTGTTTGACCAAGGCAAGCAGAGATGCTTATTAGCTGTCTTCCCCTTGGCCAAGATCAGCATAGCTGGTACAAGTCATAGCAGCTTTACCAAACAAGAGATGCTCACACTCACACTGCCAGCCATCTCTGCGGACTCATCCCATAGCCTTACTTCAGGGCAAGGGCTTTCAGAGAAATGCTGAACTTGGCAGATGGTACATCAGGAAAAACCTGGCTTTCCTCTCCATCACCGTCACAGTGTACTAAGATCATGACCTGAATTTCAGTGTCACTGAAATGATTCACACTGGGATGCAGGAGGGGAGAAGGAAGCCTCATGCACCGGGATCCTGCTCCTCAGGGGTCACAAGATCAGGCTTTATGTTCCAGGCATCTCTTTAACCTCAGATAAAGGTTGTGCAAAGGAAAAGAGAGAAGCAGCACACTAACCTGCTTTGTATAAGCAGTATTTATTGCAATAGGCAGCTGCAGATGGCTGCATCAGCTTACACACAACCGGAGATATTTGGTCTTTTTCAGCCTCCTGAGGGTCAACAGTCTGTATTTTTTTGTGGAGATGGGATCTGCCATCTACCTCTCAGGAAAGGAAGCTGACAAAGCACGTCAATGGAGGCTGTGCAGACAGTTGATAAGGTATAATATCCACAACAGGGGACAGAATGAAGTTGTGCAGAGGGTGGATATGTATATAAATACACACATATTTTTAATATATATATATATATATGAGAGACACAAGTTGCTTTGAACCGATTCTGGTTTTGTTTCTTTCATAATGTTTATTGCTTTTTTTTGTCCTCTTTTTTTTTTTTTTTTGAGCTGTTTAGACACTTTTAGTTTCAAGCATAAATGCTAAAGCATCAGAAAGGAACAGGTTATTTTTTTATTGTGCTTGGGTATATTCAGTTTCACCAGAAACCAGTTGTAACACAAACAAGAGATTTCCAAGGTACTTTTTACCAGTCACTGAATGCAGCATACAAATGGAAGGGCTCATCTAAAAGGACTCCTTAAACATGCCTTTTGGGATTTATCTGTTGTTGCTATACAGGCAAATTTTGTGACACTTCTGTCCTTAGAAAATGATCCTACACTGGCACATATTTAGGCTGATTATACTGCCTGAAAATACTGAACTTTCCCAGTCATTGTACCAGAAAGCAGCTGTTCTGCCTTCTTCCCAGTGAACATCCCAGGGTCAGATCCATTGCATTTACACACATTGTGATATCCTTCTTCTATAACCCTCCTGCATTTGTGCAGAAGAGGACAAAAGGAATAGCTATGTTCCTAAGGCATATATTGATTTTCCTTAGAATAATCACTGTTTTTTCACCAATGGTGTCCTACGGATTCAAATGGAATGGGATAAGACAGAGTCTTCTGGTGAAGCTCAAAATACCACAAAAGACAACTGAAGAGAGACTTTTTTGGTGAAAGGAAAAAATCTAATGCAAGCTCAACAAGTGTAATAATTGTTGCCTTGGTGTTCCAGCTAGTTAGGGAGACAACAGAAGAAGACCCCAGTCTAGATGCTTTTCTTCTTCCCACCCGCAACCTTCGTTCTCCCAGGGGGTTCAGAGTGGTCCCAAGCCAAATGAACGAAGTGACTATCCCATCCTTAGTATCTCCCAAAGAAACGGTTGTAGGCCATGGAAAATCCTATTTGGTCAGAGAGATAGTCACAGGGGGGATAGTTTTCACAACGTTCATGCATCTGCTCCATGGGACTCTTGTAATACTCTTGGTACCTGGAGTAGACAAAGAGAAAGATGCTGTTATGCAGATTCAGTCAATGCAGTTGGAAAGGGTTCACGCTCCTAACACTAACATGAAAAGAGTGATTCCGCAGGGTGTCCCAACAGGGGACTTCTCATGGTGAGTTAAATATCTACTTACATGAGGATAGACTGCTTGATCAATGCTGGGAAAAAGTGGAATTGCACCCAACTTAAAGCAATCGAAGCAATTGTTCTTGAAGTTTGATCGAAAAAGAATACCACTGAAAAAGTCTGGCTGGTTTTTTTTCTCAACCTCATTTCTCAGCTACTCGGAAGCTTTATTAATTATAATTAATGTTATTGTTATTTTTGTTGTTGGTACTGTTCTTGGTTTTATTTCTATTATTAATATTTTAATTGCATATTCATTTAATTATGTCCTGCTTACCTTTATTTGCACCCAGTTTCTGCTCACTTTCTCACTAGCCACTATCTTCTTTTAGCTTAAGCAGTTTTCTCTCATCATCCTCACTTCTGCTGTAGACAGCAACACTATTCCCATCCACCTTTTCACTAGGCTAAGCAAACCCAAATCCTTTAGTCTCAGATATACACTCTGGATGCCCTTCTCAACTCCTCTTTTAGGTTTGGTTAATCTTTCCCAAAAACTGTACACATTGCTACATGAGTCCCACCAGTATCTTATGATTTTTATTTTATTTCTGTATTGAAGATACCCTGCAGCACCCTTGAATTCCATTTGTTGCACCCATATTACCAGACTAACCTTACATCATGATCAAATAATACACCGCAGTGTCTGTATACCTCAGTACTTCCTGCTTAATGCTTACAGCAGAAGGCACTTTGCGATGCCCTGCCTATAAGCATCAGTCAATACAGACAATACAGTTGCTGCTACTGAATTTCATCTTGGTTTTAATCACTGCAGGTTTCAACATCAGCCAGTTTCTCTGCTACAATACTCTGATCCTTTCCTCTAATGATGGGGTCTACCAATCTTCTATTACCTAAACCCAGCAGTCCAAAGACAGATTGAATATAAAATCTTTTCACAAAAGAGAGTGGCTTAACAACCCCTTTCAGGAAATATGTGAAGAACATTGTTGCATTACTTCAAATTTCTCCAAATGTTTAGAGGTAGGATTTCTCCAAATCTTTGTGTCTAGGATTTCCGCACAAATAGATGTAGGATCTACAGCTTCAGAAATAACAGCCAGTCTCTTCTAGCCACGTCCCTGTAACAGAGCTGCACTTCTTTTGTAGGGAGCCAGAGGCAACGACCAAGGTTCTGTGGTACTCGTT